TCAGTATGGCTCTTTGCAAGGTCTCTTTCCTCGATCTCCCCAAATTTTTGGCATTTAGTCGCTTTCCTGGAAATTTAGAGATATTAGCACTCTTTACACAACCCCAAAAGGTGCGATAAGCCTGTAGCTTTTTCTCAAATGACAAGCTCAGAATTTTTAGAAATAATTCATTACAGAGTCCGCCTATACTCGCCATGCTAAAATCGTCTTTCATATAGCAGAGATGGATAAAGGACCAAATTTCCTCCCGACATGAGTGGTGGAGGGGAATTTTGCCTAGCCCCCGTAATATTTCAAAAAGGCAGAGCACGCTCAGGGATCTGCGGGAATGGCGCTCTCTCCCCTTCTGGTACCAAAGGACAAAAATCGCGCGTGAAGTTACTTGATACCTGAGAATAAAAGAGGAGTAAAATCCGCACTCACCCGGTGCCGTCGGAGGACTCCTATTCCCAAGTGCCGTCGTGCGCCTTTCTTGCAGGTAGAGGCAGTTTCTCCTGGCATCTTTAAAAAAGGCAAACACAACATTGCACCCGTGTGACTTTCTCTGACATGGGTGATAAACAAGCAAACAAAGAGCACGTTAACAAAACAAGCTAAAATATCTACAGATTAACCACAAGAACTGCTAAATCGGCGAAGAAACTTCCAACTTACCGATTGAAACGAAAGAGCCCGAGGGGGAGGGGGAAGGCCGGGGGAGGAAACACTTTGAGGAAGAGACCGAAAAGAAAAAAAGAAGAGAGAGAGAGCGAAAATCCTGACATTAGGCACACGCAGTTTTGGTGTAACCGGTGCTTTGAAACTGTGCTTCGGTTGCATGGGCGACCTGCTTATCGGGGGCCACGGGGAAACTGTGCGTTTAGACAGAAGTCTGTCATCTCTATCCATTCGTATCACATGGATCTGCCTGTGGGGATAAGAGGTAGGGAAGATTTTCTTGAAGTGCACCTACCCTTCTGGCGGGAAGGATTGCTGGGCAGGTTTCTTCTGGAGGGTCCCATCTCTCTGGAGTAGCTGAAGTGGAGTTGAGGGCAGGTTCTCCGGTGAGGTAGGAATGTGCAGGAACTCCGCCCTCTGGGCACAGTCACACAAACCCAGCACAACAGATACAGCCAGCCCTAAAACCTCTATTGATCTTCACCTTCACCTCTTCCTAACCCATTTGCCCACCAGTTTTTGACCCATTTACCCAGGCACCTTCACCACGGGGCGGAAGGGGGGGGGGGGTGTAATAAAAACAAGAACACTTCAGTGCACAGAAAAGCAGAGAAGCTGCTGCAGACACTAGTGCAATGGATAGACACCTCTGCAGTCTGTGTGTGTCTCTATGTGTGTATACATATTTATTGCCAATCGCTGATTTTGTAGTCGCGTAAGATGTATGCGCATATACTTTCTCGGGCGGGTGCATTATTCGCGATCACACAATTAAGTGCAATAGCGGTGATTATCTACAGGCAGACTTTTTTGTTTGTTTGTTTGTTTATCTCCCATCCTAAGGGAAAATACAACAATTAAAGAATAAAGTCGCTAATAAAAGGAGTATTGCTCAGTGTTCTTTCTTAAGCAAAACTCTGATGCGGTTCAGTCAAAACGTAACCGCAGTTCAGTGGGAGTTTTGCTTGAGTGAATACTGAATACATGGTGATTGAGACCTCATATTAACACAAGTGGTGAGGGGGTGTGTACCTGAATCATAATTTCTGACATAAATCTTAATAATCATCAGAAGTTATAAAGAGCAAAATGACGTCCCAGTTAAACTATTTTTTTCAAGTATCAGATTAAAAAAATGTCACTCCCCCAAGCAGAAGTTTTGTGCCATTTAAGCCAAATTACATTTTTGTTCATTTTCTTTTAAACCCTTTCGTAAGAATACATTCCACATAAGGGATGATATTTTACTGTAACAAAAGAAAGATATCTAAAATATGACAAAAATTTGTTGGCCAAATATCGCGTTGAGAATTCGAGTTACTGTTTATTATGCTTCAAACATGTTTGCGAAGGCAGTCTTAAAGTCCTAATTGGATGTTTCTTGATGAGCAGATTTCTTCTCCTACGATCTACGCGAGCAAAGTTAATCACCTCCAACATCAACTAAGAATATAACAATAGCTCCTTAATTCCATAAAGACCGCCCGTCCCCCATAAACACTCTAAATTAGGAAACGCTAAAGAAACGACGCTAAGACACTGCATCATTCTAGAAATGTACATGTTTAAAAAATCCTAGAGGCTTAGCTTGAGGATTTGACATATAAACCACTGCGGAAACAAGTATCAGATAACAGAAACACTGTGTGCTAAGCCACCCCCCCTAAAAAAAAAAAACCAACCAAACCACAAAAAACCCATCACCACCAAAAAAAACACCAACCCCCCCAACAATAAAGCAACAACAAAAAGAAAAACAAACAAACCAGCACCTCGAATTCAGTGCCGAACGAGCCTGGGCAAAGATCAGCCTCAGCGAACAAAAGGGTTTCTCTGTCTGAGGAGCAGGCAGAGGTAAAGACATATTTGGGGCCTTAGCAGCCCTGACACAATCCGTGACAACTTTCTCGATTTACTGGTGTTATTTTATTTTTGTTTTGGGCTGTACCTATTTTTTTTCCTTTACAAAAATAGTCTGATTCCTGGTAACGTGTATGGAAACGTGAATAAATTACCAGCTCAGCAACCACCCCTGCGCCTGGTGTAAGAGAAAGAGGGAAAAGTCTGTGGCACCTGAACTCCTTAGGCAATACTGTGCAACGCCGAGCCTAAAGTAGAGCTCTGGGAATGAGCGCTGGCTTAAACTAAGTCTGGAGAGACATGCATCAAGGCTACCCTTTTCAGGAATTATTATGCATCACGCTTATCTAATTAATGCTTATTAGCCAACCTCAAACTCTGACATGGTGAGATTGTGCTTTCCTCCAACCTGATCTGTCTCTTTCCTCCCTTCAGTACACTGACAGCAGATTTTTTTTTTTTTTTACATTGCAAACAAAATAATACTTTACATATGTGCTATTGGATTTCCTACAGCATACAATCAGTTGCAAGTGGTAAATAATAAATCATTTTCTTTGTCAGCTGCAGCAGATGCTGCTCTTTTAAGTTGTTTATGCACTAGTACACAGAATGGGGTCTCTAGGCTTCACGAATTTAAATCACACCTATTGTATTTTATTATTTCCAATAGTTTTGTTGAAAAAGAGGTTTTTTTTTTTTTTGTATTTTTGCATCATTTGTTTTAATGACAATAGAGTCAAGAAAATGGGGGAGGGTAGGAGCTTCCAAGTGGTGGTATCATCTCTCCATCCCTAAACAAAGCAATCGTTTTCTCATAGTGATGATTAATTTTGAATTGCAGGAGTGAGAGTGAAAGCTAAGAATATCAGAGAGTTCTCTCCTTCTCCCCCACACAGTGCAAAGCTGGGTGTCCCATCTCTCATCCGTAACCTTTCACTTCCCTCTCTTTCCTGTAGATCTGTTTGCATCTGTTTATATATTACTTATTTTCGGGAGATTCCCTCTTCCTCCCCTTATTCTTTCAGCACGCCAAATACCCTGTTAGCAAGAATTCAGATTTTCCACTGCTTCATTATTCATCCCCCCCGCATTTTTTTTCTTTTATTTCCTCTTTTCTGTCTTTCTAAGATAAGCTCTTTAAAGCGTTTGCGATAACATCTCCGACCTAGAGATTATTTTTCATTCGGCCTATTGTGAGCAGTCGCCGATTTATTGCACTGCTGCAGAGCTCAGTTTGGGCTACAAACGTAACAAATGAACAACTTGTCCTCTGCGGACTCACTGCGGGATCCAATTAGTTCCTAAACCTTTTGCACAAGTTTTCTAATTATTTTCAAGAGTTGTGGCCTTTATAGGCTTCCCTAAACTCATCAAGACACCAATTCTTTCAAGGATTAAATGCTTCTTAAAATTACTAGCAGCGTTGCCCCCTCAAAACCAGTGGATCGATTTTCCGGGCAAAGCAGCTTTCTTAGGGACGCCCGCGTGAGTTACTGGGCTTCAGCAGGCACCGAGAGAAAAAAAGAGCTCGTTTGCAAAACTTTACATGTAAGCGCATCCACGCAGGTTTGGTTTGTTGACTCTTTTTCTTTGTTTGTTTGGTCGGTGGGCTGTTTTTACCCCCTAAAAGGTTCGAACATCGGTATGCGAGGCAGGGCGTCACGTGGGCCCGGCGCCCTGCCTCCCTGCCATGGACTGCGCCCTCACCTCGCCGCGCTCGCTCTGCCCCCCTGCCCGGCCCGAGGGGCGCAGCGCCGAGCCGCTGCCAAAAAACACCGCTACTGCCACAGCACCTACAGCCACAGGGTCCGCAGCACCAAAGTACATCCATACACACAGCCTGGGTACTTCCGGGAGAGAGCTCCTCTAAGATAAGGGTTATATTTTATACACACACATACCACGGCTTGCTAAATTTGGTCAAAGGAGCATATGATAGCTGATGTGTGTGTGTGTATATACGCACACATACACATCCTTTGCTAATATATCTCGAGTCATCATAGAGACGAAATTAATTTCCTTCGGTACAATAAGTTTTTGAATGCATTTCAGAGATTTCAGGAAGAACACGTACCTATACAATAATGCACCTTGGCCTTTTTCCCAATGTGGGCTTATATACTTAAATTGTATATGTATGTGTGTATATTTGCATACATATGCAATGTTAAGCATTTTCAGCCTAAGTCAGATTTTAGTAAAACACCATACCTCCTACTAAAAATTTTTAAGCAGACTTTATAAGAGTTCTGCCCCAAAATGGACATCGAAATACTGGCCATGGTGTTTGATTAAATACCTTGATCCTTTACATTTGAAAATACTGCAGCTAAAGACAGCATGGGAGGGGGCGGGGGGAGAAAGAAAGGAGCATGTGAAAAATGGTGGACTGTGCAATAAGCAGCGCTCTGATCTCACTGTAACTTTAAAGCCTCTGCCACATTAGGGTTAATAAAAGAGACAAAAAAACTATCAAGTATATATGAATTTAGCCTATTTTTTTATTTCTGTGTGTTCATAGTAAACATTTTTGTAAGTGACAAACACGGGCATATGACCACAGTATCACAATCAAGAAATTTTAAGACGACATTAACAATCACTCAAATTTATGCGGCTTCTGCGCAACACAGGTTACATATTTGCAAGGTTTACCTATAAGTACAATAGGTATTAACATTTCACTACATTTAGAAAAAAAATAAAGGTGACCTGTTAGTGACCACATACATCAAAATATACACAACACAAACTGAAGGCAATCATTAATTTTGTCCCCTTCTGATTAATTTGAACGGGCAGTGCTGAAAACTGAAATAATGTTGCTGTTTTTTTAAATTACTTCGTACACTGAGTGCATTTTCTAAAACCCAATCTTTGGTCTAAAAGTAAACAAACAAACAAATGAACAAAAAAAAAAAAAAGCAATTCGGTAAAGAAAATAATAAAATAATAAATGGCCAAAAGTAGATCTTGGGCATTTTTCAGTATTAATTCTGCTTAAATACAAATTATGTTTTAAGGTTTTCTTATAGTTTTCATAAATTTAGTGGTTTGGTTTGGCTTTTTTTTTTCTTTCAAGGTCTGCACCCACCGACATTTCCATGATAACTTATAATACTGCAAACATGGAGAATCGGGCGGCTTTTAGTGATAGACTTATCATATTTGAGTAAAAAAATTGCAAAAGCAGTCACTATTTAGATACACATTCTACTATAATTTTGTCTTCCAAACTTCATAGTCTACAATGCAATCTCCCCACATTGCACCTTGCTGACACTCCTCACCTTGGTGGAATAATAAACAACCCTAAAGACTGAACAAACGTACAGAAAATGGGGGACTTAATAAAAAATACCTGGACTTTTTTGTTTTGCTTTTTTTTTCCTTTTAATTATCATTTACAATGCAAATGTGTGTAAAATGTTCACTTACAGTCTGATCCAATGGATGTTAATGTATTAAAGGGTTTGAAGAAGACCCCTGATTTTGATGTGTGAAATAATCAGAAAGTCCTCCGGAAAGTCCCGTTGTAAAACTTGGCAAAGAAGGTCTTAAGGACTCACAGGGGAGAGTGGAGGGCGCCTGTGGCGACGTGGAGGAGGAGGCTGCCCTGGCCGTCATTGAAGTGCTGCTTTGAGAAGTCATTGAAGGGTGAGGAACATGGGGGAAAAAGTAACTCGTCTGTCCTGCTAGGAGATTTACAGAGCAGGGATTTAGGGAATAAGTGCCGGAGCAGGGAACTGACAAGCCACACGGCACTGAGGCGGCCAGAGCTGCTGCTGTGAGGTGATGAGTGGCATAAGGTATCTCTCCATTGACTAGTCTATCAACACTTAACCCATTAGACGTGGAAAAGGAGTGGTTGTTTCCCAAGGAGTTTTGAGTCAACACTGAGCTGTAGGGCATGGGGTGGCTGGGGTAGGCGGACGTGGTCCCATTGTAACTCAAAGTGCTGCTGGCCCGGGGGTGGTGCAGGGAGAGGAAGGGGGACATAGGCCAGTACAAGGATCCTGCCCTATCCATGAATGTCAGTCCGGTAGAGGTGAGCCGGGCGCCCCGCTTGAAGGCCAGCTTGGCCCGAGAGGTGGTGGAGCGCCGGCGGAGCTTGCCGGTGGTGCCCCCGATGAAGACGTCGTCGCTGGAGGGGTCCAGCATCCAGTAGTTCCCTTTGCCCGGGTCGTCGTAGTGGCGGGGCACCTTGACGAAGCACTTATTGAGCGAGAGGTTGTGCCGAATGGAGTTCTGCCAGCCCTGCTTGTTCTCCCGGTAGTAGGGGAAGTTCTTCATGATGAACTCGTAGATGCCATTGAGCGTGAGGCGCTTCTCGGGGCTCTGCCGGATGGCCATCATGATGAGCGCGTTGTAGCTGAACGGCGGCTTCTCGTACTTGCCGTTCTTCTTCTCCCCCTCCTTCCCGCTCTCCCCGTCCTTGGCCCCCTCCGCCGCCCCCTTCTTCTCCTCGGCCGCTTTCTCCTTCTCCTCCA